GCTCCCCCTCCCTGATGGGCCCCAGAGTCAGGTCCATGAAAACCACGCACTCCTGGGAACGTTTGGGCATGGACCCGAGGTTCTTGACCGTCCGCTCCCCGTAGAGGCAATCGATCACTGGCGGGTACGTGAGGTTCCGCGTGCGGAAGGCCTCGCGGTGCTTCTCTGGCCAACTCGGCGCCTTCGCCTTGCCCTGAGCGGGCGCCCTCTCTGAGATCGAGATGTCCGCGCGACGCCCCTGGAACAACGCGAGTTCAGCGCTGCCCTCCTCCAGCAGGAACTTGTCGATATCCATCGGGTTCGCCATGACCGAGTAGATGATGCGTTTGCAGTTCGTCAGCATCGGGCCAGCGTCAGTCTGATCCTGCTTGGTGAGGGGGGTCAACTTCATCAGGAAGCCGAGGATCCACTGCCTGGGGGGCCGGCGGAGAGAGGGCCGAGGGCGCCCTGGGGCGACAAGAAGCGCCGCGAGGAGGAGCGGGAGGGAGACGCCGACGACCACGGAGATCAGGAGGAAAGGAGAGGCGAGACGAACAGGAGGCGGAAGCCGAGAGAAGTAGGATTCCTGGGGCCCGAGGGGGAGGGGGTCAGCCTACTTTTGCCCCCAACGCATTCAAGTTAAAGTTAGATTCTTCTTGCTGCACCAAAGCGAGCCACGACCGCGAATAATCGCGGGAAGACAATGGCCACAAAATGGCGTCGCAGGGGGCTCGCTTCAGCATAGACCAGCGGTAGGATATATATATATATATATATATATAGAGAGAGAGAGAGAGAAAGAGAGAAAGAGAGAGAGAGAGAGAGAGAGAGAGAGAGAGAGAGAGAGAGAGCGCCTGTTGCGACGCTGGGGCACCCCGCGGTCCCTGGCGTCGAGCCGCAGCGTCAGCACCGCGCAGCCCAAGTTGTGCAGCGCGATGACGATCTCGTCCAGGTTGTTGTCGGTGCCGTCGTCGCTCTTGTTGTCGATGGCGGTCACGTTCTCCAAGGTGAGCAGCGCTGGCCTGAACCTCGCGATATAGGCGAGGGAGTCCTTGAAGGTCTGCCCCGTCTTCTTGTCGCCCTTGCGGATGGTGTCGCACGCGTCGGCGCTGTTGATGTTGCACAGGCTGACGCTCTGGCAGCAGAACCCAATCAGCACCCAACTGACGCCCGGGACTGGCTTCTGCTGGCTGGATATGATGTCGAACGCCTTCCCGTGCCTGAGGTCACCCGCATCAGCGAACAGACACATGGTGGTCGGATCGTGCATGACCTGGAGGAACGCCTGGGCGACCTTCTTCTTCTCGCCAGCGAAGCGGCTGGTGGCCGTGGCCCGCTGCTCCAGGCCGAGACTCGCGGACCCCGAGGCCGCGCTGAGGATCGCGTCGATGGCGTACTTGCAAAGGTCGGTGCCGCTGCAGATTGTCCCAACGCTGATGTTCGGCTGCTGGGTCAAGGTCTTCTTCAGCTTGGCCAAGTCATCTGGAGTGAGTCGACCGATCATCTGCGCCGCTGCTTGATCTAAGTCGTGCTTCTCGAACGTGAGGCGGTCGGACGGGGGCGGCGGGTGGACGTCGTGCACGTGCGTGGGCGGGGCTGCGCGCCCTGGCCCTGGGAGGCCTGCGTCGCCGCCAGCAGCCGCAGCGCTGGCGCTGGCGCCGTCCTGGGGGGCGCGAACGAAAGGGGGGGAGGGGGAGGGATGGGGGGGATAGGGAATGGGAGGGTCGGAAGGGGAGGGGAAGGAGGGGAGGGGGGGAGAGGAGGGGGGAGGATGGGGGGGGGGGGCGGACGGGAGAGGGGCCGGATGGGAGGGAAGGGGGGGGGAGGGGAGGAGGGAGGGAGGGGAGGGTGATGAGGTGGAGGGATTGGTGGAATGAGGGGGGAGGGGTGAGAGGAGAGGAGGGGGGGGGAGGGGGGGGTAGGATAGGATGAGGGGGGGGGAGGTAAACGCGAAAAAATCGCTCTTGCTCACTAAGCCCTTTTCAGTGCCAAAAACCTGCTAGTGAGCAAGAGCTTTTTTCAGCTTGTTTTTTGAGCACATGCGAATGGCTTGGGCCATAGGGGGGAGGAGGGGGGGACAGGAGGGATGGGGGGAGGTGAGGGAGAGGAGAGGGGGGAGGGGATTCACAAGTGCCCTAGCCCCCCCCGCGGCACCTGCGGGGGGGAGTGGATTCACACGCGCTCTAGCTTCCCCCCCCCTCTATTGGCACTCTGGGGGGAGGGGGGGGGGAGGGGGAGAGGAGGGGGATGAGGGGGAAGGGGGGGGAGAGGAGGAAGGGAGGGGAGGAGGAGGAGGCGGAGGAGGAGAGGGGGACGCCCCCTCGCAATCCTGAGCCCCCTCGGCGCCCTCCTCGGACGGCGAAACGAGCTCGCTCCATCGGGCCCACGGGGCCCCTCTCAACTAATGCTGCAACTCCTCCTCCCGCCTCCAGGCTTGGGCGATGTGCTGCTGGGCATCCTCCTATGCGCCTCCCTCCTCGCCTCCCCCAAGCCCCCCCCCCCCCCCCCCCCCCCCCCCCCCCCCCCCCCCTTTACTCCATCCTTCCCCCTCCTTGCCTCCCTTGCCCCCCCCCTTACCCCCTCCCTTACCCCCTATCCAAATCGCCGGTTTACTCCTTCCTAATCATCCAAAACCATCCAAATCGCCGGATTACTCCTTCCTAATAATCCAATACCATCCAAATCGCCGGATTACCCCCTCCAGATCGCCGGGATCAAGGGGTAAGGGGAGGGGGGGGTCTAGGAGTAAGGGGGGGGGGCCTGTGAGGGGTAAGGGGTCATGGGCGGGGGTAAGGGGGTCACCAGCGCTGCACTTGGGGCCTGGCACTGGACCCAGGGACCTACTTGGGTAACTTTGGAGGTGGACTTGGACGACATCTGGGCGACTAATGGTTCGGTAGGCGCCGCAGTCCTGCCAGGTGGGCGCGGCGTGGCCCAGCAGCAGCATGTCCTGCAAGTCCACGCCCATGCTGAAGCCCTCGGGCGGCTTGAACTCGAACTGCATGCACACCGAGCCCTCTGGCAACGCCTCGACCCCGACGCGAACCTCGGCACGCGGAGGCCCAGCCGCCTCGTCCGCGGGCTGGGCGGAGGCTGGCCTCTTCCGAGTCTGGGTGCCCGCCACCGCCTTCTTGCCCTTCGTGACCTTCATGGGCGCGGCGCGCGGCGGTGCCCCCTGCTTCGCGGTCTTCCCCTGCCTCGCGGTCTCCCCCTGCTTCACGGTCTTCCCCTGCTTCACGGCCTTCACCTGCTTCGCGTCCGTCACGGACGCGGCCTCGCCCATGTCGCCCTGGCCCTGCACGTCGCTCACGAGGCCCCCGCCGCGGCCCCTGCCGCCCCGGCGGCCGCGGCCGCCCCGGGCAGCGACGCGACCTGCGAAAGCCCCGACCTGCCTCTCGAAGAACGGCTCAACTGGATCGGGGATGGCGGGTTCTTCTGGATCGGGAACGGCGGGCTTCTTCGACTGCTTCGCGTACTGGAAGATGAGGGCCTGCTTGGGCTCAGACGTGATCTCGTCGGCCGCGGGACGACGGCGCCTGGGCGGCATGCAGCCCAAAACCTGAAGCCGGGTGCTCGATAAGTCGGAGGCGATGGAGTGCGCTCGCCAACTCTGGCGCTCTGCAAACACCTGAACAAAAAACGGCAAAGAAGCTTCGTCGTCGTCATCGTCGTCATCGTCGTCGTCGTCCCCGCCGTGACTGCCGTCAGCTCGCCTGAGCCCGACTGGCCGACACAGCGGAATCGCCGTCGTCGTCGTCGTCGCCGTCGCCCCCCCTCAGGGGGGCAACGACGATGACGACCACGACGACGACGACGACGACGACGACGACGACGACGATGACGACGACGAGGGGGGCCCCCTCCTCCTCCTCGCCCCCCCGCTGCGATGCCGAGGGGGTGTCAGGGTTTTCCCCCGCAGCGATGCGGCCGCGACTCGCAACCGACTCAATTCGAGAAACCGTGTGCAAACGGGGCGCCCTATCCGCCCTATCTGCTAAGCTCACCCACTCTACCCTGCTCTACTCGCGTCACTCACGTCTGCTTCTTAAGCTTCTGGAGCCACTTGAAAGCTGGGTGCAGGAGGCCTCTATTACGAACCCTCTGACGCGGTCGGGGCGCACGCGGAGGGCCGACCCCCTCGGCCGGGGGATACGCTATATCAGCCGAGGCTGATTCGCTCTTCCTGGAGCCCCCTGGGCCGAGGGGGTCGGCCCTACGCGTTCGCGCCGGCCGCCATTCCTAACGGCGCCGACGGCCCTGTGCTTCGGAGCCCCCGTTGTGATCGCCGTCCGAGCCCCCCTCGTCCTCGATAGCGATGATCTCCCTCCCTAGAAACTCACGGGCCAAAGCGTGCATCCCTCTCTGCTCGAGGCGCCGAACGATCAACGCGTCGCCGGGCACGACTGCCATGGCGGCGTGGCCCCGTCTGGCCCAGGGGGGGGCGGACCTCGACCCGAGAAGGCTGCCGCCGCCGCCCTCCCACCGAGGGGACTCCCACCCGTTCCTCGCCCTCCCTTCCCCCGCAGGCCCTGGGCCCAGACCTCGACTACCCCGACGCGATCGCCCAGGGCAACCCCAGGCCCCCGGCCCCTGGCCCTGGGTCGAGCTGGCCATGAGATAGGCCATCTAGGACTACAGAGTGGATAATCAACATGATGATGATCGGTAAGGACGCAAGCCCCCTGGACGCCCGCGTTGACGTCTCTCGAGCAAGACCGGCCATCTCGTTCAAGGGCGGGTCGCGGGAGCCCGCGCAAGCATGGATGCACGGGTGCCCCAGGGCGGGCCGCTCGCCCCTGCAAGCCCGCCCGAACGCATACGGAGGAGGGGGAAAAGGGGGGGGGAGGAAGGGGGGGGAAGAAAGAGCAAGGGATGGAGTGCGGCGGAGCGGCGCAACGATCTGGGCGCGCCGTCCACGGGCGACCTCGCCCCCCCCCGTCCGCTCGTCGGGGTCGCGGGCGACGGGCGCCGCCGGCGCCGCAGCAGCAGCAGGCGGCAGGCGCCAGCTGGAAGCTGGCGAATCAGTAGCACACGTGCTGGGGCCCCTCCGACTCACCATCCTCCCGCTCACGTTCGTGGGCGAAGACGTCGGGGATGTTATCCTTGGCCCACTGCCGGCACGAGTTGCGCTCGGCGTAGCTGATGTCAGCGTTGTCCCGCTGCTCTCGCCTCGCCAGCGCCTGGTGCCCTGCCTGGTCGTAGCCGTGGCCGGCGAAGAGCCACGCCAACAGGAAGCCGACTGGTCGGCCCGAGAACTTCTGGGCTGACCCAGCGCACGAGCGGCCGGTGCGGCACAAGCCATGGGGGCACGCCGCGTTCACGCAATGCGCGGCCATCTTCTTGCGGCCGTGGGCGTAGTACAGGTAGCCGCAGCCGGGGACGTCGTACCTCGAGTACTGCTCCTGATCGCCACCCTTCTTGCGAGCGCCCCAGCCCTGGTGGATGCGCGGCATGGCGCCGTCCAAACCTGGGGCGGGGGGGGCGATGACAAGGGGCTGGCGGGCGACCCCCAGGCCCTGCATCCCCTCGTTTGGTTTAAAGAAACCTGCGCTCTAGATTCGCCACTTGGCGAGGACATGATGAGGGGGAGGAGGGCACCGCCGCGGCGCCCTCCTCCCCCTCATCATCTCCTCGCCCTCTTCGAATCCTCTTCGATATCCTTCTCCTCCCATCCCCCTCCCTCTTTCGATTGGTGGCGCTGCACCTGGGGGCTCCGCGGCAGCGGCGCGCCGCTTCTGGCCCCTGCGACCCCCAGGCTGCCCTGCAGCATCCAGCGGCTGGGGCGGCTGGGGCGGCGGGGGCACCTCCATCGGGTCATCCTCCTGCAGCCCGTCGGTCTTGCCCCCCTCGTCGGTGCCGCTGCCGCCCGAATCAATGTGCGTCACCTTTGCCTTCGCCCTCTTGCACCTCCGCGACTCTGCCGTCTGCGCACTCGGCTGGTCAGGCTGACGGCGAGCCGAGGGGCGCGAGGACGACGAGGCTCTGGTCCATGCCGCGGAAGGGCGCCTCGCGGCGGAGACAAGCACATCGAGCAGATCCCCCGAACCTGACGAACTCGCTGCTCTGGTCGACGACAAAGATGATCCGATTAACGGGGCCTCGCGAACGACAAACTCCCCCTGCAGCATCATGGCCAGCACGCTGGTGTTCGCACACCTGATCTCCTGCACCTTGGCCCCCTGCATGCCGTCGAGCACGACGCAGTCGCGAGCGACGCGGTAGCAAGTCGAGAAGTTGAACTCGAGGCTGCCGCGCCCCCTGGCCTCGGGCGGCTCCGCAACGTCCACCTGGATGACCCCCTGGAGGCACGCGTGGCGGCTGCAGCGAGCGAACACAGCAAGCGGAGGGCCCCGCTGGCGCATCGCCCCGATGCACAGCCACATCTCGACAGGTCGTGCGTCCGACGATGCCGCCTGCTCAACATCCCCGCCAATGATGCGAATCAGCTGGCCGCTGGACATGCCCTTCACGAAGGCCCGGAGCCCCGACGCCGCGGCGAGCGCCTGCGCGTAGACCTGCAGCGCGGGAAGAAAGGGTGGGCACGGGGGCACGCAGGGCGGGGGATGAGGAGGGGAGAGGAGGAGGAGGAGGAGGAGGAGGAGGAGGAGGAGGAGGGGCACGGGGGCAGAGGGGGAGGATGAGGAGGAGGATGAGGAGGAGGAGGAGGAGAGAGAGGAGGGGCATGAGGAGGAGGATGAGGAGGAGGAGGAGGGAGAAGATGAGGTACGAGGCGAGGGCGAGGAGCGAGGAGGGGGAGGAATAAGAACATGAAATGGGAGAGGGAGGGAAGACCTCCTTGTCCCTCGTCTGGCACAGGCCAGGGTGGAGCCTGAAGCACTGGTCGCGCACCGCGACGGGGCCCATCGGGACGGGGGTGGCGTTCTCGTCGGCGGGGCCCTCGACCAGCAACGTCTCGCGCAACTCGGGGCGAATCTTCTTGGCGCACTGCGTGACCCCTGGCACTCGGGCGGGGGCCCCCCCGCTGCTCGCGCCCGAGACGGCGCGCAGGTGCTGCTCGAACCTCGCCTCGGCAAGTGGCCACGTCTCATCGCCGACATCCAACGGCCACACCTGGCGCGCCCTGTCGCCCACTGCGATCTCGAACTCTGGGGGCTCGACGCTGCCAGTCAAGATGTCGAGCAAATCGAGGGCGCCACCGCGCAGCTCAGCCGCCGCGCCGCCCGCGGTCTCGTCGACGGGCTCCTGGGCCGCGGGCAAGGCTGCGTGCGCGGCCAAGTAGGTGTCCACCTGCTCCTGGGTCATCTCATCCATCTGACGGCCCCACTCCTCTCTCGCTCTCTTCTCCTGGTCATTCGTCCACGGTGCTCCCGCCCGGGCCAACTTTGCCAACCTTGATTTGGTATTCAAGAAGGTTTCGCGTTGGCGCGGCTGCCGCCGCTTCCTCGGCTTCCGCAGTCGGCGGGCGTCCTGGCGGGTTACAAGGCCACCCCGCCTGGCCAAGACCACCTGGTTCTTCTCGAGGCTGAAATCCAGGTGGCCCTGCTCGGTGAACTTAGCCATCATCCTGCGCGCGTGGTTCAGCAGAATGACGCTCTCTGCCCCTGGGCGCGAAGTGGAGCGGCAAATCAGATGCTTCATGATGGCGTGGAGCCGCTCGACGTGCGCGACGCTGGCCTTGCCGTCCTCGGCCCACGCCCGGATCGCCGCGATCACGACCTCACAGCACAACGCCTCCAAGATTGCTTCCTCGCCCAAGCCGCCGTCGGCCTTGGCCCGCGCCCAGTCCAACAGGCGCCCCGAGAAGGACTCGTCCAGGCAGCACGTCGGGGTGCCCATCAACTCGCGCATGGCGCCCTTCACGCACTCGCCGAGGGCGGCGCGGGGGGCAACCCTGAGGAGTTCGAGGGGGTACTCGCCGAACTGGGATTCCACTCGGTAGTGCAGCGACGCAGACAAGGACAACGTGATCTCCCGCAACTCGCCGTACATGTCGCCCAGGCTGGACTCTCGCTCGAGCCCGAAGTGATCTGCCAAGAAGCACGGGCCGTCGCCGAAGAGCATGGCGACGAGGCTGGACTGCACCTGCCGCATCGGCGACATGGACGGCGTCGCGAAGTCCAGGAGGAGCCGTCCTGTGCGAGGCAAGGCGAAGGAACGAGCGAACGACCGACAAGCGAATCGGTGTAGCGCAGAGCCGCATCAGGAGGAGGAGGAGGAAGAGGAGCGCGACGAGGAGGAAGGGAAGGTCGGAGGAGGAGGAGGAGAGGAGGATGAGGAGGGGGATGAGGGCGAGGACGTGGAGGAGGAGGAGGAGGAGGAGGAGGGGGGGAGGTGGGGAAGGAAGGGGAGGAGGAAGAGGACGACGATGAGGAGCATCACGGGGGGGGGGGGGGGGGGGGGGGCAGCACTGCGCAGAGGAGGGATGCACTGTCGCCACTATACTGCACGAGGAGAGGAACCACAGCAATGAGGAGGGAGGAAGAGCAAAACGGAGAGAGAGGGAGAGAGAGAGAGAGAGAGAGAGAGAGAGAAAGAAAGAAAGAAATAAAGAAACAACAACTAAGAAACATAGAGAGAGAGAGAGAGAGGGAGGGAGGGAGGGAGGGATGGGGGAGAGAGAGAGAGAAAGGGAGAGAGAGAGAGAGAGAGAGAGAGATCGGACAAGTAGGCGGACCAGGGTCCGTCCGCGAGGCGCACTGCGGTGCGACAACTCGCAAGCACTATTAGCGGCGGTGCAGCCTTAAGATACGAGGGCGGGCTACAAAACCCCCTCCCCCGGCGCAGTGCGACTGACGCTACAGACGGCGAACAGACGATGAAGATCTCACCTGACAGACCGCGTGAGGTAAAAGGCCCCAACAAGAAAGGCGACGTGCTGGCACGTGGCTAGGCGGCTTGGCGGACCGCCAGTTGGGCGCATGGCCGCTAAGCGGCGCGCAGTGACGGGGCACCCCCCGCCCCCACGCCCTGACACCGTGGACGCGGAGCCACACGTACACACGGGCAGGCAGAAAGGAGGAGATCAGCGCGGGGCACCAGGTGAAGCGCCGCGGAACGATGACAACATAGCTTGGATGTTGAGTGACGGCACGACACCATCGGGCGAGGTGGTGAGCAGCTCGGCGAAGGCTCGCCCAGCGCTATGGAGGCGCTGGAGTAGAGGACCTTGACGAGCTTGGGCAGCGGCGAGGTCCGCGGCGAGAGCTAAGCACTTCTGCTGAAGGGCAGCCATAGCCTGTGACAGCTCGGTTTCACGGTCGGTGAGAGGTGGCTGCTCAGTGACATCCGCCGAGGATCTCGAGACAGAGGCGCGGTCCTCGGTACGCCTGTCCAGGTGGGCTAGCGGCGTGCGGGACCCTGAATGCTGACGTCCGTCACCGTTAAAAGGTGACTGGAGGGGCCGGCGCGACCCCAGGGCTGGAGCCGCTAGGGCCGCGCCCCGAGAGGTCAGGGGAGCCGCTTCCTCTCGCTCAGCAACGGAGGAAGCGTGGGTGGGGCACGAGGGCCTGTCTTGTTTAGTACCCTGCGGGGGGGCTGAAGCCGCCCCCGCGGGTCGCTGACGATGGGGAGGTGAAGTGGTATGCGCGGTGGGGCCAGTCGTGATGCCGTGCAAGGCCGCCGAGGTCGGTCGCGTAGAGGGTTGGTGACTCGGTGGGGCGGCATGGTCGGCAGCGTGTGGTGTCGGCGGTGCGTCCTCAATGCCACCCAATCCTCGGGGGGCACTCGGGTCGTGGTCGGCGTCCTGGCGGTGGCCGATATCATCGTATGTGGGCGTTAACGCTCTTGGGGACGGCGTCGCAGTAGGGTTTGCGAGGTTTCCCGACGGGGCGGGGTTTTCGTTGGCTGGTCCGTCGTCCAAAGCGTCCGATCCCCCACCGAGGCTGAAAAGGTCATCGTCCTGCTCATCAGCGTCTTGAAAAGGGACGGCGTTGTCATGTGGGTGGGCTGACGCACTCAATGGCGGAGTCGGGGGCGCCGTGCGGGTGCCCGCCGGGGCAGGGTTGGCGCTGGCTGACTCGTCACCCAGGAAGTCCAAACCTCCACCAAAGCCGAACGGGTCGTCCTCCTGTTCGTCGAATAACCCCCGTTGGGCCTCGGCCCAGAGCTCGTCGGGGTTTTGTGGGATGTCTGGTCCAGCCACGGGTGGAGCCTGGTCAGACAGCAGGGGAGTTGGTTCCATTTTGTTTAGTTCTGCAGCAGTGAACCCAGCCCTGCGGTGTGGGAGAGGAAGAGTACGATGTCTCCGCTCGTAGATGGCAACGGCGACTCCATGGAGCACGGTCGCTTGGCGGTGTCGTGCTTTGGCAGCTTCAATGATGTCGTCTGGGAGGTTATGAGTACGTGCCGCCGCTGTGGCGAGGGCGTCAGCCTGACGATTGAACTCCTCCGCGATGGGCCCGATGAGCCCGAGGTCGATGCCCGTGTCGCCCTGGTGGCTAGCGACTTTCTCTACGCGGAACATGTTTGGCTTGGCCATGACACATCGGTGAACCTTTTCCCAGAACTCCACGTGCGTGCCCTGCGGAGGTGAGTGTCCGTCGATGATCCTTTGGAAGCCGTCGACCACCGCCTGGTTGTCCACGAAGACGTGTACGGGCCGTTCAGCACATGCCGTGAGGTGGACAAGGGCGAGGGTCTCCGCAAGCTGTGCGTTCTGCGTGATGCCGTGAACGCGCGCACTGTAGTTCATGCGGTGGTCGATGCCGTAGTAGACGCCGTAGCCCGCTCTTGCAAGCAAAGGGATGGCTTGGTTGGTGCATGCACCGTCCGTGGCAGCGTAGACCCATGTCCAACCAGTGTCGTGGTCAAGATAAGTGGTGTAGGAGTCCTGGGCTGAAGCCGCAGGATCTCCCTCAGGCGGGGGTCGCGGTATGGGTTGAGGTAGCGGGTCCCTCGCGAGGTCGGCTTGCAGATCGAGGAGGGCTGGGTCCTCATCGAAGAGCCCGCAATGTCTTGTGTGCGGAGGAAGACGTGCCCACTGTTCGTCACTGATGAGGGTGGTGAGAGGGACTCTTTCACGGGCCAGCACTTGCAGTCACGCACAGTGTGCTCCTGAGTTTCCTCTTCCTCATCACAGTAACGGCAAATAGGGCTGGGGTCAGCGGACGTATTTGATCGAGAACGTCGCGGTTGGGTGTGGTCCCCGCCCGACAGGTAGTTTAAGAGGAGCGCCAGCTGCCATGCGTTGCATTTGGCAGCTCCTTTGGTGCGGGCGAGCCACGTGCTGGCGAAAAGGTCGAGGCCCTGACTGACCGAAGCAAGGTGACCAAGGTCATGACGCCGTGGCTTGATTTTTCTGAGAAAGGCTCTGCGTTGCGAGGCGCGCAGCATGTGAAGGAAGGCGTTTTTGGGAAGGTTCAGCCAACTGATCTGACAGCCCCAGTCGTCGTACATGGTGCCAAATGTGGGCCAAGTCCAACGGAGCTGCTGAAGCGTCTGAACAAGTCGTCCAACAGGTCCTCCGCCAAAAAGGGTCTGGACATGGTGTTGGAGATCCCTGACGAGGCCGCAATGAGTGGCGTCGCGGTTGACCTGTCGCCGCAGGCACAGGAAGACTTCACGCTGCATAATGGCGTCAATCTCCAGGGCGTGCCCTGGGACGCACACGGCCAGGAGAGTCCAAAACTCGACCCACCTGTTTCCCTTGGGGCGGATAGCCGCCTTAAGGGCATGGTTGTAGGCAGTTTTGACGGGGCCTGATGGGGCTTGGATGTCAGTGCACGTGGTACAGACGCTGGCAGCAAGGGAGCGGGCGTGCCGCGCCTTAATACGCATCGGAGATGGGAGCTTGCCAATACGCGGCAGGCGACTAGTCGCCCTGCGAACACGGGCTTCAGCGGTGGCCGTGAGGTTGAGCGCGGCTGGGGCCGGCGCTGCCTCGGCGTTGATGTAACTTCCGACGAGCTTGAAGGAGTCGACCACGCGTAAGGGCCGTTCCGCCAAGGTGAGCTGGGTAACGGCGGTGTGAAGCTCGTCAGTAAGCGCCCACCCCGCCACTTTTCCAGGATGAATGCGTTGACCAGAAAATCGATCAACCTTGGCGGTTTCATCAAGAGATTTCTGCAACTCGGGCGCGGTGTGGGTAGTGGAGTTGCTGTCGTCAACAAAAGTAGTGCTGAGTGACCGCGGCACGTAACGATGCTGTCTCTTGGTCCAGACGCAAATGAGCAGCTTAATGTCGTCCAGGGACCAAGAGCTTCCCTGGAGGTGACCGTTTGTCCTGGCCAGTTCCTTAGAGTACGCACCGTTCATGCGGATGTAACGTTTGTGGCGCCTGTAGAAGTTTCTGCGGACAGTAACGATGTCTTGGGGACACCCCGCGTGAAGTGCGAGGTTAAGGCATATGTCCGTGATGAGATAGTCGAAACACTTCTGACGGTCCAGGGCAGCTCCAGCCAAGGGAAGGAGAAGGGCTCTGGCGTGTTCGATGCGAAGGGCGAGAGAAGTGCTGACGTCCCCAATGGTAGCTTTGGGGACAGCGCCAAAACTCGTGGCGTGGGTCCATCTTTTCCGCCAGTCCGTGAGGCTGCGGTAAGCTGGTGCTTCCCACGCGTACATCCAAACGGAAAGCACCGAGAGAAGTCGTTGGTCCGTTGGGAGTTCGCCTCGGCCTTTTCGGAGGCCCGGGTTTGGGACGTGGAGGAGGGGTTCTGGGATGGTGCCAGTGCGTTGCATAGCTCGTAGAACGCTGGCGAAGAGGCGAAGAATGTCGTCGGGAAGCTCCTTTGCCTCCTTAGTAGTCCAACCGTCCAGACCCCCCGCGCGTCTCGGTGAACGGTTGCGAATGAAGTGGATGAGTTGTTCGTCGGTGAGGTGGAAAGGGGTAGCTGGTGATGGCGTAGGCAGCTCCTGTCGGTACTCGTCGTAGAAGTCGGCCCACGTCGGCATGGCTTCGGCATCATGTCCCGCACGTGCGCGGTACCTGCCCAAGATGGGCTCCCAGGTGTCGACCATGAGCTTCAGCATGTCCTTGATGTTGGCCACAATGGCGTTGGCAGGGAGGATGTCGGGGACTTGCGCAGGTGGTGGTTCACGGGTGTGGTCTTCGTCGCTGTCCGTGTCGGGCGAACTACCGTCGCCGGGGCTGAAGCCGCCAGCTT